ATATGCAAACACAGGGTGCCCAAATATTCTATACACATGGGAATATATGGGGGCAGCCATATATGCCAGGCATATGTGGGAGCAAGGAAGAAGATGGTGGGAATCACCATGTTTGGCTGGACTCAGTTTCTAATGGCCAGAATTTGCATATCAAAACTTGCCAGCCTTGCTCTAAGAGCCAGGGCTTTCCTACTAGACAAGAAATGATTCTGGGGCTACATTAAAAGAAACAAAACCTTCCCAAGGACCTCTTTTCCTCTCTATCTGCCTAAAATAATTTCTTAAAAACTCCTATAACACTTGGGTTCCAGAGACAAGGATGTGGACATCTTTTGGAGTGGGGACATTATTCATTCCACCGCCATAAACATATTCCCCAAAATTGTCCTTCTCAAAAGTAAAATTTAAAAAATCTCAAAGTATTTTCATGAAACAAGAGAGCTGGACCAAATCTTAGACTCAGGTTCCTTTCAATTGTGAGCTTTAACTGTTAAGGTATGATCACTCTACTGTCTCTAATGTAGATTTATTGATGTGTAGAGAGTTTTAGAGGATTTTTAAGTTTATGACCCAGTGTAAACAAAACAGTATTTGAGACAGGTCTCAATCAATTTATAGGTTTGCTTTGCCAAAGATAAAGTTTATGGCTTGTAACACAGCCTTAGGATGTCCTGCAAATATGTGCCCAAGGTGATAGGTTTACATGTTGGGTTTAAACACTTTGGAGAGACAGAAATTATGAGGAAAGACATAAATCAATACATGAAAGATATATATTAGCTTGTCCTGGAAAGGTGGGATGTCTTGAAGCAGGGGCTTCCAGGTCGTACATGGATTCAAAGGTTTTCTGACTGGCCACTGGTTGAAAGAGTTAAGCTCTGCCTAAAGACCTGAATTCACCATAAAGAAATACTTGAGTTAAGATAAAGGTGTGTGGAAGCCATGGTTCTTGTAATGTGGAAGAATCCTGTGGGTAGCAGACAAAGTAGATGGTGAATGGTGCCTATCAGACATTAAAAAAAAAAAAAAAGTCAGACTCTTTGGAAAAGACTTAGTAAGGGGAAGAGATTCTCTCAAGAATGAAAATTTCCCTCACTATAGGCAACTTTGCAGGGCCACTTCAGAATATGATGAAGAAATATTTTTAGGGTAAAATATTTAGATTTTCTTCAGGGCCTATTCTCTGTCATATTGGAGTATGGTATCTTATTTCTACAAAGCATCTGTTTTGTCAGTCTAAAGATCTCTGTTGTAATGATAATGCTGGTCAGTTGTGTCTGAACTCCAAGGGAGGAGAGTATAATGAGGCACATCTAAACCCACCTGCCAGTCATGGCCTTACCTAGTTTTTCTTTTTTCTTTGAAGTTCTCTCTGCCACAAGAGGAGACCCTTCAGCTGGTTGGTGGCTTACAACTTATTTTTTTGTTTTAACAAACAGAAAAAAAAAAAAAAATCATTGCATAAATTCAATCTAAAACAGATTGGTTAAGAAAAATTAAGTGCTTCCTGAATATTCCTACATGTCAAAGAGAGAGAAGTGATAAGAATAAAGATGGGAAATACTTCTCATAGAAATGATAAACATTTTATTTTACTATCTTAGTTCGGGTCCACCAGCAATGAGGATTCCTGTTTAGGCAGCAAATTTACACTGGGAGGAAGGGAGGAAAGGAGGAAAGTGAGGAAGGGAACAGAAGATGAATGGTAAAAGACACATCAACAACCCACCTGACTGGGGATAACTGAAGATCCACCACATGTGGAAACATGGATTAATTCCTCTGGGCTGTTCCACCTGAGAGATTAGGAAGCTGGGCTATGTATACACCTCATCCTGTCCTCACTGATTGTGAACTGTCCCTCATGTTTCATTTCTAGCTGCTATAACAGGTTCCTTGTCACTGTGTAATTCATAAAGAACAGAAATGAATTTTCTCACACTTCAGGTGAATGGGAAATTTAAGATCAAGGCATGGGCAGGTTAATGTCTGCTTTCTCTGCTTTCAAGATGATGCCTGGAACATTGACTCCTTCAAAGAAAGAAAGGCCTTGTCTTAACATGACAGATGACCAGAAGAGAGAAAAAAATTCAAGGCCCCTAATCTCTGTTTGTTGTGTCATTAATGTATTCCCTAGAGGGCGCTACCCTCATGACCTAAACACATTCCAATAGGCCCCACCTGGCAATACCATTATATTGAAATTTAACTTTACAACAGATGGATTCTGGAGGACATAGTCAAACCATAGCACTTTTCTAAGAGATACACATTCCAGGCCATCTGGTCAGCAAGGCAGGCAGGCAGATCTCTCTGCCCAAGATCATAAGAACCTAAGACATATATATAGCCATTGGAAGTGAGCACAGGTACAACAAAGGGGAAAGTCCTAGATTACAGATGGGGACTGCTACATTCATCATGGTACAGTTAACCCTAGAATAACTTGGGTTTTAAATTTGCAGATTCACATGTATTTTCTTCTGTGTGTGTCACCTGTGAGCAAGTACTTTATAAGTAGCAACTATATTTTCAGATTTTTATGGTTTTCTTAATAACTTTTTTCTTTAGCATCCTTTATTGGAAAAATAGAGTATACAATATGTATAATTAAAAAAGGGGTTAATCAACTATTTTATCACTAAGGCTTCCAGTCAAAAGTAATCTATTAGTAATTAAGTTAGGGATGCAAAAATTCTACACAGATTTTCAACTACACCAGTGCTCAGTGCCCCAACTTCCACGTTGTTTAGGGGTCAACTGCTTTTTCAGTCTGTAGCTGCATCTCTCTGGAACAGCATCTTGGCAGGTGGGTTGCAAGTAAAGGAATCCAGAAAATAGCATCTCAAACTATGCTGCATTTGTATGATGATTATGAAGAAATAAAGGCATTTAGAAAGCAGCAAATGCACAAATAGGCTTTTCCTAAATATCCCTTATCTGCCTAAAAGCAAATTCTTCAGAAGGAAACCAATTGTCAAGAAAATTCTTCCTGAGAATTTTTATCAGTGAAGATTAACACAAAACAGGAATCAAAAATAAAAAAGACTTGATGTTGATACTTTAACCAGGCAGGTTCTTTTGAGGGTGCACCTCTATTCTCATCTGTTCTCTCCAGGTTGCCTACACTTCCCAATTCCCTCTTCCCTAGAAAAGAAATAGAAACACCTGGATCTCATTGACTTATCAGGTCATCACCCTGCGATGATGCCCCATTGCACTTTAAGTGAATTTTGTTTGCCTTTTCTCTTATTAATCTTCCTTTTGTCAGTTTATTTTCTGCAAACATTTAGAAGAGAAACGGAGCTTTCTTCCTTTCTCCCAGTATAACCAAGTTATCTTAAAATTTGGGCTGCTTACAAAGCAGCAGGAAGGTTTGTGCACAGGGTACAACATTGTGATTTGGCTCCACTAGTCAGGCATCAGTAAAATTTTGTAGAGCCCTAGGCCGCAGCCCACTGATGCTGACATAGTTGGATCTACTTCCTCTGCTACTGAGCCAGGCTGGGACATTTTTGGGCACATTAGAGATATTAGATAAAATGAGTGCAAATCCTTGTCCAGTTTCATCTGGATCCAACTGATTTCTCCATGTACATGGGCAGTTGCGTGATAAAAGATTGCCTCGGCCGGGCGCGGTGGCTCAAGCCTGTAATCCCAGCACTTTGGGAGGCCGAGACGGGCAGATCACGAGGTCAGGAGATCGAGACCATCCTGGCTAACATGGTGAAACCCCGTCTCTACTAAAAATACAAAAAAAAACCTAGCCGGGCGAGGTGGCAGGCGCCTGTGGTCCCAGCTACTCGGGAGGCTGAGGCAGGAGAATGGCGTGAACCTGGGAGGCGGAGCTTGCAGTGAGCTGAGATCCGGCCACTGCACTCCAGTCTGGGCGACAGAGCGAGACTCCGTCTCAAAAAAAAAAAAAAAAAAAAAAAAAAAAAGATTGCCTCTTTCCTAAAGATGTTAACAGGGAGGCTGGTGGACATTTTTGGGCACATTAGAGATATTAGATATAATGACTGCAAATTCCTGTCCCGTTTCATCTGGGTCCAACTGATTTCTCCATGTACATGGGCTGTTGCGTGATGAAAGACTGTCTCTTTCCTAAAGATGTTAACAGGGAGGCTGGTGTCTGGGTCAAGATGATGTCCCCAGTCACTGATAAAATGTAAAATAGGAAGGTGTCATTGATGGTGCATGGCAGGGACATGCTCCGTACAGTGACCACCCTCATTAAGAGAGATGAACATTGGGAAATAATACTCAATGACAGAAAAGAACGTAGACTATGAAGATGCCCAAAACAAGAATAAGGTGCAGCCCCTTTAGTCTTTGGGTATTAAAGAGACCTGTCACTCTTGATAATGGTGAATCTGTGAGTGCTGCATGCATTGAGAAAACTCAGTGTCATCTTTGTGTATTTGTAGTAAATTGCTTGAACTTATACTGGTAAGAACAATGGCATAACACCATTACCTAATACTTACAAATATATGTAGCATCATGTCAATATATTTTATTTTTAATTTTTTTGAAAGGAACAATGATAAATTTACAGAAAAGTTGCAAGTATATGACAAACACCCCCTTCCCTAACCAGAATCAGAGAGGAGTCTTTTAAATGCCTTAGAATTGTATCATCTAAAATTTTACTATGTGTTTCCTACAAAAAGTAATATCCTCCTAAATACTCCCCATACACCAATGAAATACGTTACTCCATCGACTCCTGAGGAATATTTCAAATTGTCAAAAAACAATCTAAACAATGTCTCTCATAACAAAATAGTCCCCAGTAGAAACACATTCTCTGCAGACAAATTTCTGCTACCGTGATCTTACCTGGGACACCTGGGGACACTGAGCCGGTGCTGAGTTACTGACATGAGACAGCCCTGCAGCTGTGCCCAGACTGCCCCATCCCCTGCTCATTTGCATGTTCCCAGAGCACATCCTAATGCCCTGAGACTTATTAATAGGCTGGTTACACTTCATGTAGGAGTCAGAACCACTCAGGACACAGCATGGACATGAGGGTCCCCGCTCAGCTCCTGGGGCTCCTTCTGCTCTGGCTCCCAGGTAAGGAAGGAGAACACTAGCAGTTTACACAGCCCAGGGTTCTGAGTACTGCTTCACTACTCAGGGAAATTGTCTAACAACATGATTAATTGTGTGGACATTTGTTTTTATGTTTCCAATCTCAGGTGCCAGATGTGACATCCAGATGACCCAGTCTCCATCTTCCCTGTCTGCATCTGTAGGAGACAGAGTCACCGTCACTTGCAGGGCAAGTCAGGGCATTAGCAATTATTTAAGTTGGTATCAGCAGGAACCAGGAAAAGCCCCTAAGCTCCTGATCTATGCTGCATCCAGTTTGGAAAGTGGGGTCCCATCAAGGTTCAGCGGCAGTGGATCTGGGACAGAATTTACTCTCACCATCAGCAGCCTGCAGCCTGAAGATTTTGCAACTTATTACTGTCTACAGCATAATAGTCACCCTCCCACAGTGTTATACACCCGAACATAAACCCCCAGGGAAGCAGATGTGTGAGGCTGGGCTGCCTCAGCTGCTCCTCTTGATGCCTCCATGGGCTGAGAGTGTTCCTCAGATGAAGCCACTCTCTGATGGTGTCGGTAGAGGGGAACATGAAGTCACCTCTGCACCCGAATTCTTTTCTCTTTCTCAGCCCCAACTACACAGACATAGCAATCCCTCTCTTGATTTACTAAAGACAGAGATCATGACACCTGAGGAGTCTAGTTTATGGCTTCAGTTGGACTTTATATAACAGAGAAGAAGCCACTATAGATATTCTCAACCGGAATTGTCTTAATACGGAGAATTATGGTAAAATAGTGAAGTCTAAATAAAATGTAGAGATGAATCTCTAAATTTAATGTTTTATTTGCATAGAAATACTTCCCAAATGGGACATACAGGAAAATTCAGTGGTCTTCAATATGTTGGAAGAACAAAGAGAAAGGTATCATTTTATGAAAAAGGGAATATATTACCTATGGCTCTTTGAGAAAGTTAATTGGCACTAGGAAGGGTTAGGAACTGGCGAACTTAGGCTGGTAAGCAGTAGTGGACAAAGTGAATCCTAGAATTATATCAAGTTATCTCAGAAGTTGTGGATCAATTTGATTTCAGGTTACAAGAAGCCAAAACAGTGAAGCTTGCAGAGAATTTGTTACTGAAATACCAGGGATTCGGTATAGATCCTGCTGCTCACCACACAGAAAGCCAATCACTAAGACAACAAGTATTGCCAAGGAACATGCTCTAATCAGGCTCTGCAGCCGAGGAGATGGGACACCATTCACAAATGTGTCTCCCTGACCAACTAAAATTAGGAGTTTACATAGCAGGGGAGAAATTTGGGAAAACAGGAATTATGCAGGGGTAAGAAAGAGAATTTGGTCAACAGGAAGCAGGAGGTCAGTTAGGCAATCATAATGGGTGAAGGGTCTGACGTCTCACTGTCCCGATTCAGTCATATGTAAATTTCAGCTCCGTGATAGTATCTAGGAGGCCTGATGCTTGGTTTACTGAAAAAAGAGTTCAGGTAAGACAGATGTAACTATCTTGAGTTTTAAGACTGGGGAAGTCAATTTCCAAGTTTATTCAAAAAACCATAAACATTAGTTCTGTGGGATAATAGGCCTATTTCAGTTGCATTCTAGAAACAATATTTTTCACCCTGAGTGTCTTTCTCCTCTGATTTCTTGTCTTTGTTAGGTATGACAGAATGACCCAATTCCTATGATTAATGTTCACACCACAGCCTTTCAAAGCCAGGGATACAGTATTCAGGAAAGTTGACATTAGAAACAGGATTCTCTGGTGCTCCCTCAGAAAACAGAATGCATCTGCCCCTGAAGTATGGGCTATTTAATGGTATGGTCCTCAGTCCCGTCTAGAAGCTTAAGTCTGGGGTTGCTGAAGTTCTCAGCTTCCTAAAGTATTTTTCCAGGTGTTTCTCCAGTCCTCACCTTTGTCTCTGCGCCTGTCTTAGGTACCAATGGATAATATTGAGTCTTCCTTTTCTGACTTCCAAATCTCATGGGAGGACCTCTTATTGGGCAATTCTATAGGACCCGAGAGGTAAGGAGGGATATTTACATAAGTTAAAATGATTTTCCCCAAAAAGGCCATTTTAAAAAATTGTATTTGAAGCCACATGTTGAAAACACATCCAGCTTTGTTTTCTTATCAATGCAAACTTACATTTGCAAATATTCTCAGGATTGTAAAGCTTGAAAACATAATTATTTATCCATGGAATGATCAAACACCTCTATAATTAAGTGAAGTAACATTTTCTTGAAAATTTGTACTCAGTGAAATAAAGGAATATATTTAAAATGAGTGAAGCTATGTTAGAAATTATTGGACTTAAATTCAACTGTGTGATTTGGTTTGGGAGGTTGAGCACTCCTGTGACCTGTCACAAGAATCTTGTGTCATATTTAGTCAATGCTGTTCAGCGTTGTCCTTAAACAATTGATATCTACAGCCTGAATACAAGCTCAGTGCCCTGCAGAGGAACCACTTAGCAGAGCACTTTCCTGATTAGTCAGATGATTGTGGACATGAGCATCCATGAACATGAAAACAAATGTTTCCTGTTATAAGCCACTGTGTTGTGTATTTAACCAGTTACCAATAATTAATGCATAAATGCTTCCAGATACAGTATTTACACCTCTACTTTTATAAATATAAGCATTTTTTCTTAAATTGGTAGTATAAATGTGAATATTTAATAATCAAATTATGAAGTTATTAAGAGAAAAAAATGAAAACTAGTATTTCCATAAAAAATTAAAATTAATCTCTTTATGGAAAAATGTGTGTATATATTTAAGATACATAGAAGTGAATGTATATTTACTTGATAAAATGTTGGCTACAAATATATACAGTATTCATATTTAGGAACATATATTCTATTATATATGCAATATATACATATTTGTAAAGTATTATCTGAATTACATACATTTAAATAATTGTTGTTACATTCCACAAAAAAATGGTATTCTGGACGACATATAATTCATACTCTTGCTACATAAAATTTCATTGTAACCTTTATTTTTGAAACTTTACCAAATGGTTGTCCTTACCTAAAATATTTTTCCAATCCAGTAGAGCTCCAAGGGTAGGACTAGAGAAAATTTTGACTAATGTTAAATATTAACCATTGCATCCTGTGAAAATCTCCATTATATTTATGCCCACAATGATGATATTCCAAATAGAGTTCTCGCAACAATGGATGCTGGATGGAGTCACATCAGTGCCATTGTCAAGGAAGCCCTGGAAATGTAAAAATTGTAACAATGAGTAAACTGCAAGGGTTACATCTGATGATCACATTGCAAAGAGAACAGCTATTTAACAATATTGGCTGCTGGTTTTGACAGGTCATCAGGCCTTAAAAGAAAGACAACAGGATGATTTCAGACAAAGTCATTCTGCAAGAGCTATGACTAGAAGTTTCAAAAATGAGCCATAATAGAGGAAAAAAAAGCTTTACAAGTGAGTATTAATTGAAATACCAGTAAAGAGCAGGGGCTTTTAACAATGAGAATGATTCAACACATGGACTTCAGTCAGTCACCTTTCCCAGCTTTCCCAGAAAGTCTGAAGAAACAATGTTATGGAGTTCCCCATGGGGACTCAACAATATGAGTTTCAACTAACTGAGATGTACAGGGCTACTGGCTCTTCTGAACACCTAATTTGCCGAGAAAACCAACCCCTTCAGAACCCTTAACATTGTACCACACATCAGGGCTCAGACTAATAGCTGGTATCGGGTGATTTCAGTGGACCTCATATAACAGGAGGAGGGCAGTGGTTATTTTACTATATATGAATTTGCCTTCCTTTTTGGTTACGTTTCCGCATAAAATATTATTTAAGGATTTTCAAAGTGTTTTCATCAGAGTCAGGAAGTTCTTCCATAATATGGCTCTGGATTAAGCAACTTATTTAACTCAAAAAAAGTGAAGCAAAGTGTAGCTCATACTCTTGTCATGTGCACCGGTGCAGCTTTCCCTATAGACAGGGAAAAAACCATTATCCGTCAAGCAAAGCTGGCACACAAACCCTTGTGCTGTTGAATTGCTGTGCTGTCAGATGTGGTGGAGGCTCTCAAACACTAACTGTGATTGGTGCTTTTACTCCCATAAACAGAATATTTATATCTGGAAAATGAGCTGTAGACTCATCATTGTTATGTCAACTGAACAGCTTGAAGTAGTCGATTTCTATTTTCTCAGGGTTGTGGTTTTCTGGTTGATGGTTCTGAATCCAAAGAGTTGACATAACAATTGTTTCATTTAATTGGAAGAAACGATATGATAAGCATGTGACCATTTATACTTAATACAATACTGGAAAAGTTGTCAACACAGGGCATTAGGGTGTGTGTTGGGGCCGTAGATCTAGCCCATATAAAGCAAGAGCAAACAATTGATTTTACATATTTTAGAGAGGAAGTACAGAAAATACAAAACCTAGGGAACCTTCTGGAATGTTTCTATCTATTGCCTCTTCCACTGGTAAAACTCAGAGAAGATTTCAACAGTCATCAGGATGAAGTTCTAGGGATCAGTTATGTGAAGCATTATCTGCACTTGGATGTCCAGTGAGACAAAGGGAAGATGAAACACGTAGTGGGATATGGAGAAGTAAACACAAGAGACAGCCTCCTGGTCAGCTTAAATGTTGAAAAGTGTATTTTTTCTCTTTAGTTTTATCACTGAATCATTTGGATCTGAGAAAAGTGATTATGGCTGGTTAGGCAGAAAGGTGTTTATTATCACGAATTAAATGGATTGAAAACATTTGCGGAAACCAGAGTAGACGGCACCCCCATGTTTTCCACAGTCAAGAAAGATACTCTCATTTTATAGGAACCTGGCAAGTGAAGGTATTGTGCCCACAGGACTGTGCTGGTTGGCTGTGACCCAGACCAGGAAAATGAGCACATTTGAGTGAGATCAGGCATTTCCCCTCCCTCGTCTCAATCCAAAACCACTCTATAGTAACACATCTGATGGGTAGTCAGAGAAAGGGTTCAGATTTTTAGCAGTTGATAGTTGATAGCAGAGCTGCTGTCCTTCTAGGGGCAGTAGTGAGAAGAGCCGCTCTCTTTTCTGCTGCCAGAGACAGCTTGATTGTGGAGTCTCAAGGAGTAGGAGCTCCTCCCCAGCCTGTGCCAGCAGTATGATTCTTGGAATAGTTCTAGAGGCTTTGCCTGGAGTCTGTTCTTTAAGGTCTTTAAGGCTTTTCAACAATTTGTAATGAATTTAATATCCTCTAGTAAATCATTTTATGCTTCATGGATTTGACATTTGCAACAAGGAATACACACATTCCACAGTGACATCATTCATAGTCTCCTTTTTTCTTGCTAAATATAATGCTTTCCAGGTGTACCTGCCAGAGAAAGCCAATGTGAACAACAATCCATGTCACCAAAAATGTAAGACAAGCAAGCTCGGGAAAGCCACTGGGTTCTCACCGGCCTGCATTGTCCCCCTGAGTCTTTTTTTTTTTTTTTTTTTTTTTTTTGGTCACCTTAGTCAAAATCATAAACAAAGTTCCCAACTTTGAATGGAGCCCTTTGCAATGGTAGCCTTGGAATCTGTTCAACAACGCATGTCCAAGGCATTTCTTTAAGACATGTATAGCCTGCTTGCTCGATGGAAATCCAGGAGTCCACTATTTCTATGCATGCTGACTAGAGTCTGTGGCGATGTAAAATTGTCACTGGGTGCACCAGACTCAGATTTTGGATGCAAAAGTTTTCTGAAGCAGCCACCAGTTGTGCCTCTTTTGAATGACAACTCCTTGCTTGCTGTAGGAAAATCATAGGGCCGGAGTATCTCAGAGCTAGAGCACCAGGCATGATGCTGCTACCTTAACTAGCCATTCTCACTTTGGTGCCTACAAACACAATCAATAAAACTGGATAGGCCCAATAGATCCAAATTACTAAATAGAAATGATACAATCAGAATCAGCGCTAACCAGGATCCTACAGATCCCAAATGCCCCATGAACAAATGGCGAGCTTGTTAGAAGGGAGCAAATGACCCGTAGGGGACAATTTTGCTTTTCCTTTGGCCACATAGAGTCCAAGATTCAGAGACATGCCTATGTCAGTATGGTGTGGAGTGCTGATGATTGTACAAAACACATGCCAGTGGGTCCCCTGGGTGTGGCCACCATCCAGCCAGGGGATGGCATCTTTTGACTGACACTGTACATGGACGTTCTACCCAATGGGCCAAACTACATGTAATGACAGTAGCCATGTAGGCTGCCCCTACACTATATTTTATTCCATTTCCACTAAATCATGGGCCATTGCCAACAACCCAGTCATCTGGTCAGGAAAATGGCAACCGAGTGACTGAACTCTTACAGGATCACCTGTGTAGGGAAAAGGACTCTGGCAATAGCTTGCTTCCTGGACAGCTAAATGTATGTCACTCAATTAGATGCTGGGGCTACCATGGCCACCTTTGAGAGGAATTTATGTCGTGTTTTTCGATACCACATCAGACTTCACTCTGACCAAGAAACAGCCTCACTGCCCAATCAGCTTGACAATGGGCACACTCTCATGAAACCCTATGGAGACTTTCCATGCAATTACCAACAGCCAACACTGCCTGCTGTACCTGGATAAACACCTCAGGTATCCTAGAAATATAAGTGGAGGTGATCCTGATGCAGGCTCAATGGCTGCAGACAATGGGGTATCTGAAAGATCCCCGTTTCACCTCTTTAGCATCTTATTTTCTTGATCATGGGATCGTGGGCTAGGTCACTGCTTTGGGGAGTGTTATCCTCCTGCCGGTGGTAGTAGTTTTCCTTGGACCAGTGAAATGTACTGTCACTATGGCTTAATAATCTGCGTTGAGATTGTGTAAGGCAAGGTGCTTCAATAATCTGAAAAGATAAACTTCTGCACCAGTTCAGGGGAAGTTTGTGGGCATATGAAATATGCTAGCTTTACTAAGGGGGATGTCTAGGTGGTGGGGTAACTGCAAGACAGTTCTTCAGTGACCCTGGACTGACTTAGTTCTCTCCACATTCTTTCTTATTTTAAGAGTTCTCAAGAATAATTGTAGAATGTGCTGGAATTGTAACATCCTGAGATAGAGAAGAACTGGTCAGAACAGCCTACCTGTGCTCCATAGCAGTTTCCTGTAGAATGGAATGTCCTTTAGTACATAAGTCCTGTGTGTCTTGTTACCCCAGGATATAAAACCCAGAGTGGCTGCTCTCCCGGGTTCCTGAGCTGTGGTGCCACAGGGGGGACACACAGTCGCCTCCATCAGCTCCACATGGCTTTCCTGTGCCTTGTGGGAATGACCCATGAGTCCAAGACTTTTGTGTTTCCTTGCTGCTTCTCTATAAATGATAAGCCCACTTCATGTAACTTGCTGTATGGAGTGTTCTGTTTCCCAGACTCAAGTACATTGGTAACCAGTGCATGGTGAACCTGCTTCAAAGATGTCATTAACATAGAGACAGAACTGCAGTGGAGGTTGCTTGGGGTAGGGAGTGATAAAATGGGGGGAAGTATTGTTTAAGGGGTATAGATATTAAGTTTTACCATACAAAAAGAATTCTGGAGACAGTATCAGTAATAATAGCGAACATGTGAGTATACTTAATGTCATGCACTCCACTTTTAAATATGGTTAAAATAGGCAGTTTTATGTT